GCCGGGATTGTCCTAAATGACAGTCTATTACAAGGCCCAGACCTGACGACTCCACTAATTGAGGTGCTGTGTAGATGAGATTACGGTCAGTTGTGGTAGTGGCTGATATCGAGGAGATGTTCATGCAGGTCAACGTCCCCGAAGGGCCCACGGACGCTCTACGGTTGTGGTGGTGGCCGGATGGAGACCTAGACTGACGGATGACGGTGCACTCGTTTGGCGCAATATCCTCTCCCTTCTGGGCGAACTTCGCGTTAACAACGACCGTGAACAAGTTTGCGCAGCGTTTCGAAACCCCGATGGGCTCCTGTGTTGAACATAATTTTTATGTGGACGACTTCCTGGGATCATTTGATAGCATCGAAGAAGCAGTTCGACACATTAGGGATTTTTCCAAGTTACTGCACATGGGAGGGTTCAAGTTGACTAAATGGATGTCCACCAATCGTCGCGCAATCGATTGCATCCCAGTTGATGTGCGGGCACCGAGTCTTCGTGAATTGCAGGGTAGTCCGTTACCAACAGATAGAGCACTTTGTGTGCAATGGGACTCGGAGAAAGACGAGTTCTTGTTCCAACTCCAGTTACTTGAGACGACGGCGACTCGCAGAGAGATTCTGTCTTCGTTGGTCAGCCTTTACGATCCAATGGAGTTCGTCGCACCGTGGCTACTGCCGGGCAAGATTCTGCTGCAGGGCCTCTGTAGATAAAAAGTTAATTGGGATGAGACTCTTTGCGAAGCGGATAACAAGACCTGGCAAAGCTGGTGGCTGAGCCTATACAAGCTGGGCGACATACGACTCTCTCGTCCCTTACCGGGAATACTCAAAGGTGAGCAAAGAGAGTGACACGTTTTTGCGGACGTGTCGGGGATGGGATACGACTTAGTGGCAAACAGTTGCTCGCCTCGTTCAGGAGGAAGGAGACAGCAGTATTCTGTTCGCAAAGGCCAGGGTCGCCCCTCTAAAGACAGCCTCAAGACCCAGGCTAGAAATAGCCGCAGCAGTATTGGCCATGGGGGTAGCAAATGTGTGCAAAAGATGTTTTAACTCGATTGAATGGACTGCAACCTACTGGACCGATTCCGCTATAGTCCTTCACTATGTTAGCAATGTCAAAACGCTCTTCAGCACTTTTGTTGCCAACCGGTTGGCTGTCATTCACGAAGAAACGGAGGTGGGTCAATGGCGGCACATAAAATCCTGTGACAATCCAGCTGACTTCTGCTCCAGGGATGTGCTGATCTTGGGAAAAATAAAATCATGGTTACATGGACCGGCTTTCTTGACAGACCAGCCCAGCGAATGGCCCGAAACTCAGATTTCCCCTGTCGCAATAGAGTTACTAGAGACTAAGAGGACCTTTGCGTTAGTCGCTGCTTCGACCAACATCTTGCTACAGAAGCTGCATCGTTTTTCACGATGGACGAAGGTGCTGAGGGTGGTTGTCTGGTGGATTAGATTTAAACGATAACTCGTTTCAACCTGACGATAACTTGAATATTGGGCCCATCGTTCCAACTGAATTGAAAACTGCAGACGCTGATGTTGTTCACATGGTTCAATCTCAAGGCTTCCCGTCGGAGCTTTGGAGGTTTGGTAAGGGGAATCGTGACTACAACCGACGTGCATTACGTTGCAGTTATCTCCGAAGACTATGTCCAATATTAATAGATGGTTTGCTGAGAGTAGGCGGAAGATTGACAAACTCTGAGTTGGACTTTGACGCTAAACATCCCATCATCTTGCCCAACAACCACCACATCACGCACACCCTCATCATACATATTCACAAGCAGGAAGTTNTGAACACCACCTACTCAATACGATTCGCCGTCGGTTTTGGATAGTGAAAGGGAGAGCTATGGTCAAGCGCGTCGTGGGCAACTGTCTCTTGTGTCGTCGCCAGAATGCTACATTCAGCAAACAACTCAAGGGCCTCGTTACCAAGTTCCCGAGTACGACGAGGTTGGTGGTCCTTCGCCGAAACTGGAGTGAACTACATCGGGCCACTTTGGGTGAGACGAAAGACGTCGATGGAGAAACGGTACGGATGCCTGATGACCTGCCTGCAGTCACGAGCATGGCATAAAGAGACCGTACAAAGCATGTCAACCGACTCCTTTCTTATGGCCTGGCAGAGATTCGTGGATAGACGAGGCAGCCCATCAAATGTGTTCTCCGACAACGGGTCCAATTTCGCCGGTGCACAGAAGGAGTTGAGCAACTGGTTGATGCGGTTAGACAAATGCACCCTGCAAGACCGACTGCCGCCATCTGGAACTCAATGGCACTTCAACCCACCCTACATTAGTCACTGCGGGGGAGTTTGAGAACGGCTCATAAGGTCAGTGCGAAAAATAGTGACAGCATTATGTGAACAACAGGTGCCGGATGATGAAACTTTGAGCACATTTCTGATAGAGGCGAAAAAATACTCAACAACCGACCGCTTTTACCCGTCGCCAGCGATGACCTGCAAGGACTGGCACTAACTCCGAGTGACCTGCTATTGAGGCCCAATGAAGGTCTACATATGCCAAAAGCTATTAGTGACTGCTTTACCTCGGGTTGGAAGCGTGCGAACTACCTGGCATGGATGTTTTAGAAGCGTTGGACAAGAGAGTAACTGCCAACCCTTCAAGCTCGACAGAAGTGGTTGCATAGAGAACGGTCACTAAAGATTGGGGACGTTGTTCTTATGGCCGGCGAAAAGCTACCACGCGACAACTGGCCACTGGGTGTAGTCATAGAAAGCCACACGGACCCAGATGGACTAGTAAGAACAGTGAAATTGAAAACATCTGCCAGTGAACAGGTGGGCGATATTCGACGAATGTGTTTATTGGAGGGAGATAACCACAATGCGGTTAGTTGATGAAGTTGCGGAGACCCGCCGTGTATTATATTGACTTACCTGCTGCTTGTACCAGTTGCGCCCCAGTGATACTCACCCGACCTCTATGAACAGTTACTTTCACGACCTTGCCATACGTCCTCTCTATTTCATTCCGTGACTGAGTGTCTTTTTTATCAGATTGATAAACAATTTATGACATTAACCTCGAAAGTGTGACCCATATCCTCACAACATTCATCCATTTACATAAACACAATCACCCGCATGCTGAACGTGATCTCATTTGTAAAACTTGAACATTAGTTAAATCGCCCACATCCCCCATTGTTTAAACATCGAGACTGTAATGCTATTCATTTGACCAACTGCTATAAAGTTATCGTGCTACTGCCTGCAAGCGTGCTGATGTAGAAACAGATCTCGATGAAGGAACGCGCAAGTCGTCGGAGGTCAAGATCAGCGAGTGCGACCAAGGTAGAACAGCAGGAACTAGGTAGGTAGACAGGTAGAACAGAACCAATGACCTGCCCCTACCCTTTGACTCAGACGAGCGCAGGAAGGATTTTGGTGGCCGGTGTATTTCATGATGATTTTTTGAAATCCTTCCAAATCCATGATGATTCATGGTGACGTAACTGTATCTGTGTGTTGCTTCTCTAATGAAATTTCTCGATCAGAAACACCATACATTATTCTTTATCTGGTAATTCGGTGCCCGGCACATTTGAATTTTGCGCGGTCAGAGAACGTGAGCGACTATTTGGTTCTCTCTGGACATCATATTTGGCTCACTTGCTTGAGTGCTTTTGGTCGCATATTTGAGGTTCGCTTTATCGTACATTTTGTAATGATTTTGCTCATTCAGTACCGTAGAACATTACGGATCAATCGTGTTTTATTTTGGGGTTCGTATTGGTTTGGGCCACGCGTCACTCAAGTGCGAATTGGCTGACGTACAGTACTCAAATCGGAATGAAACGATAAAACTATTTCGAAGATGCCCAGACGAGGAACCAAGGAAACTGGAAAATGGAGGATGTCTGCGTATATCTGAATGGAGTTGGTTCTCAAACATGTTGATTAAGTGCCTGCTATTGGGAACCTCTTAGGTACTTCTCTTCAGAGGGACTATCTCCCGCGTCAGCGTAATCCTAATCAATTTGTTGCAGGTTGAAATCACCAACTATGATGGTATTCGTGGATTTCCTAAGTAAAGTGCTTAATGTGTTCATCAGCTGTCTGTTCTCTACTGATCTAGTCGCGCGCGCTCTGTAGACTCCACGGATGACAAAGCGTCGTCCTCGGTTCCAAATAGTGCACCCAACTGCTTGCACAGCGGGGGTGCACATTCTCAATTCAGTGGTTCCCTACTGAGCATATTGATTCTTTACGGGAATCAACACTTCGCCTCCTTTACCTACTTCCCGGTCTGTCCTACGCACAGCAAAGTCCGGGATGATGAGGTGATCTATGACGTGTCCTGGTGATAATCATGGTTAAGTTAGAATGACTACGTCATACTCGGCATCTGGTTTTCAGTTCTCCTTTCTTATTTCCAACATTGCAGACGTTTGTGTACCACGTTCTTAAACTTCTTTGTCGCAGTGCTGGGTCCTCTGTGTTTAGGCCATTTCCTTTATGAGCTCCCTCGAGCGTAACACCCGAGAGTGCGACACGTTTTTCCTCTGAGTATTTACTCCCACACTGATTTCTTTTATTCGCGGTTTTTCACAGGGCTTCCTTTTTGGCTGAGCTATCTTGTCAGTGACTGCTTTTCAACAGTCCAATTCCGTTTCATTCATATTTGGCTGAACGGAGGCATCGTTTAGTAACAGCAAACCTGCTACCCGCGGCTTTTTTATATCAGCCCTTGGACTCTTATTTTTGGGGTTTGCTTACCCATCGATTTGGAGACAGGGGTCATAGTTATAGTCATATCTACGGACGAAATCTCCTTAAGCGGCGTTTCTAATCCCCCCGACCGCTATTTTGTTCGTCTTCTCGTTTGCTCCTGGTTGATTTCTTGATGTTTTACCCCTACGGGAGTTCGCAAAGTATCCTTGTTTCCCGCAGGGATCTGCGTCATAGGTAAAGGTCCCCTCCAGTTCGCCTTTTTCTAGAGAAAACAGATTGAAGTCGCTTAATCTTTTCTGATATGATTTACCTCTCTGCCTGTCTATCATTCTTGTAGCTTGTTTCTGCACTTTCTCCAGGGAGGCGGCGTCTTTTTTGTGCAGAGGTGCTCAGGCTTAAACACACTATTCTATATGGGGCCTTTGTACAACGGCACAAGGATTTCAGGTTTTCTGCAAGATAGAGCCGATCTGGGCCGGTAAAGGTCTACCCGTGCCTTGTGAGCTGCGATTTCGCATTGGCTACCACAGCTGAAATCTGAAGCCATTACAACCCCAAGTTCCTTGGCAGTTTTTACCGGTTGGACTTCGAATACTCCCCACTTACTGACAGCTACTAATGAATCCTTTTCCCTGGACAATAATTGAAACTTGGCCGCATTCAGTGCCAAGTCCCACTTGTTTGACCACTCAACTACCCGTTCAATGTCCCTCGGCTGTCACTCGATCCCACCAACTTCACCTTATCCACGAAGACGGAACAAGGTGAGTTCGTTAACCCCGCTAAGTCAATGATGAATAAAAGAAAGAGTAACAGTTCGAGAACTGAACCCCGAGGAACTCCACTGGTCAATTGAATGATCTGAGAACTGGCCTCCCCTATCCTCATTGCAAAGGTTCTATTTATAAGGAAAGCGGGTAACCACCTGTGCATCCCGAAGCTTTTGATTTGATGAAGGCGCAATCTGTGGTTCACAGATTCGAAAAATTTGCTAAAA